CTAAGCTAAACCCCCCGGGCATTAGTTCAGGGAGCTTAACACAAAAGTCTTCAGACTCAGACGTTAATTCCAAACCTTCTTGATTACATACCCTTGTCAGTCAGCCGTGCTTACAAGTGAGACCATAATCTTATCAGTTGATGAGTGTCTTTCACAGCCCTTCACACTCTACTCTAAACGTTTTACAAAAACAGATTTAAAGTTTTTGCGAAATTGGTTTCATGAATGTAAACGGCTGCGCTGACCATGGGATTGTACATTGTAACCGTGCATATCCATCATTTCCCATCCCACTACTCTTTCACTCATATTTTGTATTCCCTGGCTCATGCTTAAAATGTGTGAGAGTTGGATGCCTTTAGCCGCAGCAACAGGAGACAGTAACACATGAGGACATGTCAAGACTTGCACCCGTGGCTGACATTTCAGCATGCGGCTCAGATGACTGGCTGTCATGATGGGGATTCAGAAACACACACACACACACACACACACACACACACACACACACACACACACACACACACACACACACACACACACACACACACACACACACACACACACACACACACACACACACACACACACACACACACACACACACACACACACACACACACGTATATAAACTGCATGAGGGTACACATGATCTACATGCCAGTGGGGAAATATGGGATTGATGGATCTTATAAAAACAAGTACACAGACAGATCCCCATATGTATGAAAGCACACACACTGCAGCAAGGTTCACTGGGTCCATGTGTCAGTGGGGAAATAAGGGATTGATTGATTTTATGGGTAACTATTTTTAGTCAGAATGATGGATGTTTATGTCTTTTATTGATCAACTTGAGGTGTGGGTCTGAGGAGTTCTTCGTCATCAGGGCATGCTGATTAATCAGGAGGCAAAGGTGTTGGAATAAAACATCCTGAATTACATATTTGGTGCATTAGCATTATTGCTAAGTATTATAAATTAGAAAATCAACATTTCATTGCTAATTCAGCAGTAATTTAGCATCCGTTTGCAAATGTGCCCATGATGAATTACACTCTTAGCATGTACTACTCCATGATTTCGCACTACTGCGTAAGCAAATCTGTTATTTATAAGCACAGAATGTAATTATAATTCATACAAATTTCGACATTACGTTGTGTAAACTTGTTGATTCGACAAAGCCCTTTCTGTGGTTTTGTGTGTATTTGTGTATGCATGTGTGTGTGCTTCTAAGCAACAAAATGACTATTGTGAGCACAGCTCCAGGTGCCTAGCAACCGAATCGCTCTGTTTCCTTGGCAACAGTTGCCTCGCACTCACTGTGTGGGTGATTGGCAGCCTTGACAACGGAGACGGAGTGACACTTGACCTCGCGTGCTGAATGGGAGAGGAGAAAGAAGGAGCGAGGAATAGAAGAGAGGGGGAGGGAGTAGGAGGGGACGTGCAGAGACAGACGAGAGACTAAGTGATAATCATTCTCCATTGTAATCATCCTCCAGCATGTTTCATAAGGCGTCGTCAATACCTCTCCAGCTGGGGTCCATCATCAAACACAATACACAGTGCAGTGCGCGCATGCAAGGAGACACTCCACCTGGGTGGAGAGCCCGGGCAGGCACTCCACATCTCATCTATTATCACTCAGCCCTGCCCGGTGCACAGCCTCGCTACACTGTGTCTTCTTTCATTTGTGGTCTGCTTCATCCTGTGCTCTGTGGGAATGAATGGGCACTGTACTCCTCAAATTGTGTCACGGTCACAGATGCCACAGGAGAGTAGATCAGAAGTCGTGAACACGAGAAACGGGCACAGTCTTTGAATTAAAGAACTGGAAATGTGGGAGGGGGGTTTTGTGGTTCATCCATCCATTCACTAGTTGTATAGGTTTTTGTGCAAGGTTTTCTTTTAACCAAAATGATGACTACAACTGTGTATAATTGACTTTGTAACTGAGGAGTGGTTCAAACTCAAATAAAAACCTAATTTGGAAGTCTTTGAGTTCTTTCACCTCATTCAACTTGAACTATAAACCCTTTATTATTTTAAAACACGATTTCATTTAAGCCGCTTATTATCTCTGACACTTGCTGAGTTCTTGAAACCATTTTCTTTATTGACTTTTATTTTATTGTTCATCTAAATCCCAACCATAATTGTGAGGTTGTCCATCCTATTGTCACCAGCTGGTGGTGCTCAGTGGTGTTAATGTTTGTGTTGTGTAATATTAGTGACTACCTTTTGTTTCATATTCCCCCATTGAACAAAGACTTACATCCAACCAAGTTTAAACAACCACGTCTTGATCACATAAAGAGTGTGTTCGTTCTCGAAAGAAATGTAGTAGATTAAGTTCATTACACAATAAAATGAAGACTAAACACACATGCTGGCATCAAGTTTGCTCCTTTATTTCCATGATCACAATGATCAAATTCAAAACATTAAAAGAAAAAAAAACACATGTCTCTATGCTATTCAACACTGGTGGCTAATGCATAGTAAAATAAACACTGAAAACTAACACTTGATTTGAGGATTTCATTTGTACTCATTTAATAAAATGTTAACATTTAAGCCAAAAACATACAATTAACTGAAAACAGAATTTCCTAAGAAAAATTCAGAACCTGTGAATTTAGCAGCTAAGCATAAATCTTACACATTTCCATTCCTCTCTCCAGTGGAATGACATGTTGTGACACAACGGTCTTTATGAGGATGAGGATAGCTGTGGACACAACTTGTGGCATCATTCATGAACTGTGTTTACATTCATCAAAAGAAGAAGGTCACTCACACCTTAACTTTGAAAATCTGGAGGGTTCCTCTCCATTTAGGCCTTGCAACTCATCTCAGTGTATAATATAGAAGGTCCATACTGTATATTCACATCTTTTTCTCATAATGCTGACCAAAAATATTTAACTTTTTATTGATTTTTACATAAAAATGCCAATAGCCAGTTCTCTGACAACACAGGCTTCTTGTAAAAAATGATATGTATTGAACCTAACAACATCTAGCCATTACAAACCTAAACAGAAAGACTAGACCAATACATTTAAAAAGAACTAATATTGAAAATAGAAAATCTCTCAATGTTTGAAGATTATTCAGGTTAGATCACTATTTTTTTATAAATCTCAATAGTCAACACTGGAGTTGCAGGCTGAAACGTTACAAAGAATGAGAAGTCATGAGACAAAGGAGAGCTTCAGAGCCTCTTTGTGCTGAATACCACATAAGTGAAACTTTGGTTCACAGAACTTTAATCTTAAGTAACCATATAAAAGTTTTTAAATACAAAGTTGTATAAATGTCCTCTGACCAGCCTGATCCTAATGGGCCCAGGATCATCAGCCGCATCCCCTCCCTGAATCACATCCTGCTCCACAAAGGCTACTGATTGGCTGCTTCACAGGCATCTATCCAATCACTGTACACATCAACTGCTTCCGATAGATCTGAAGAGCAATGCGTTAAGGATGAAGAGAACTTGTTGCTGAAGATTTAAAAAATGTTTTATGATGGTGCAGGATGATATGAACTTTGTAAATCAAGACTCTTCTGAAAAAGGTATTACTTATCATATTCAGACCCTCTACCCCTACTCATGTGATATCAAAATGACTACCACATTAAGCTGGCTATATTGGAATACACACATTTGTATCCCTGTTCAACCCCTACTTCAAGATTTCTCAACCAAAAATTAAGCTTTTTCAAAGCAGTCCCCAGAATGGTTATGTATTAAAAAAATTAAAAATATTGACTTGGTATTGTGCCGTTATGTATTCGGAAACTGAAAAGGGGAAGAAGAGATTTAACCAATTTGTTTAAGTGTGGGCAGAGATCTTTATGATGCTGGAAAAGATAGTATAGACAGTAAAGCATTTCATATAAATTATACTGGGCCCTACGTTGGATCCAGTTGAAATGCCTGTAAACTAGCAAGAAAACGTTTAAAATATTTTGTTGAACTACTATTATCAAAAACAAAAGTTAACATTGCACGCTTCAAAAACCACTGAAAGTTAATTGTAAAAAAAACGTGGTTTGAACGGTTCTGTCATTAATAATGTTATAAATGTATGTAAAAGATGATGATTCGTGTGCTTAAGGATACAGGTAATGGGCGTCTGGAACTCCTCCAAGCAGACTGTGCATGATATTATTCCAGTATTTCTGGTTCTCTCCCTGTGTGCAGAAAAAGTACAACAAAAGTTAGCAACATCAACCTGAAATACCAACAAATGTAACTTGAATTAGTTGCTGATGAGTGGATTGTTTGGTGCAATTGTAAGTTTGTTTGGTGCAATTGTAAGTTTGTTTGGTGCAATTGTAAGTTTGTTTGGTGCAATTGTAAGTACATTTTGACATCACATGACTTCTCGTGGTTGCAGAACGGACAGGTGAACTGAGAGTCCAAATCTCCTGTCAGCTTCTTCTTAGTAGGGGGCTTTCTTTTAGACTTGCGACGACCCATTTCAAACAAACTAAATCAAGTCTGTGTGAGAAGTAGACAAAAACAGGCAGCTTCAACAAGGAGAACATGTGCTTGGAGGAGAATCAACAGAGATAAAATACAACTCTTGACTGGAAAACCACTCCAGTCGGCAGCTGCTGCCGCTCCATATTGTTAGCAACTAAAGTTAGCAGGCTAACGTTAGCATGTTTGTTGTTGATCTCCAGTACAACATACATCGCCTCACGACGAATAGTTAAATGGACTCTAGTAAGTAAACAGATTTGATAACACCTCGATTAACCGTACTTGGTAAACATGTCGGGATTGTTAAACGTGATGTAGTAAAAGTTTAATTTGTTTACCTTTGCTCGTAGGAAATACACGTTGCTGTAGAGTAGAAAAGGCTTGCACGAGACCCGGCACCGTCAACTGTTCGCATTATGTGATTGGAGGAGAGCTAATGCTTCCTGGCTAGTGATTGGCTCTCTGACACGTCAGTCAAGTCGATTGACTGTGACGAATCAACGCCTGAGACAGCCTACTCCCGCGTGGTGGCGACAGAAGCTAGCTCTCAGGTTTGTTGTGTTGTCTCTTATTTTATGTTTTAACATGCCCTGAAAAAATACTCATATTTTAAGGTGTTGCATATTTTTACATATTGACAGTTAGTGTGGTTTCCATGACATTTGTGCCGTAGTCTGGCTTCCTTCGTCAGTGTTTTGTGCTGATATGTATTGATATCTTACAAATAACCAACACCTTGTAATCAATGTCCTTTCAAAGCTAGAAAAAGATCGGCTTCTGTGGACTAGAAGGATATAGCATAATATTACAATGATCGACTAACGTTAGAGAGTGCTATAGCTAGACATTACTTATTCAACCACCGATTAAATACCATTAAAGAAAGTGAACAACAATTTTGTTTTACTTTTCCAGTTAGGTCAGGTTAGGTTGCTCAGAAAGTGTGCGTTACACTCTTTATATATACAGTCTATGGTTACACTACATGTTTGGATCTTAACCATGATTGTGTTGTAGAGATGTCAGGTATGTGGACGGTGAAGGTGGTGGGTCTGGGTGTGGTGGCCCTCTCTCTCAGCGTGGAGCTGCTGGGTTGGCTCCTCCATCGCCTCAGGCCTAAAAGAGCCCGCACTGAGGTCCTCTTCTTCCCCTCAGAGATGGCCTGCTTGGAGCACATCTTCGCTCCCTCATCGCCTCAGTAGGTGGAACTAAATTGCTACATTGAGTAAAAGAGAGCTATATATGATTTTCTCTGTATCACTGTCAAGCGTGTTGTGATAATGGCTTCTAATGGAAAAATTCATAGCCCCTAGATGCTCTCAGTAAGTGGATTTAGGCAGTGCAATAACCATTCCTCATCCCAATTGTTTTTCACTTTACAGAATTGTTTTTTACCTGCTTAATAAGTACTTCAAATAAAATAATACAGAGAAACCAAAAAGAGGGGCTATAAGCATTTTTGCCAGCTTAAAATAAACAACAGCATTCCTTGCTAAATAGAGCTATTGTAACTTTGCAACCTGGATGAGAGGGTAGGAAACTACATACACAGAAACAAGCTTGTTTAGTATACGCTTTGGAGTATCAGCACACTTATTTTCTCCTGTTTTCTGCTCTTCCAGGTCATGTTGCTGCCCGTTGCCTCACGGCGTAGAGACCTCTTTCTCTCGTCTTGTCCGCTGCATCTTGTCTGCTTCCTCCTCTCTGGACGTGTGTGTATTTGCCTTCTCCAACATGGACCTATGCCAGGCTGTACTAACACTGCGATCTAGGGGCGTCACCATCCGAGTCCTCTGCGACAAGGACTACTCCGCCATCCATGGCTCCCAGATTGGGGTCCTTCGCAGAGCCGGTAAGAGAAACAGATCTATTTATTTTTTAAATCATCATAAAGTAAACGTCCTCATGCTTGGGGATTTTAATTGACACCTTAACGAAGCATCACTATGCCGAACAATACACCAAACAAGACCAGGGGGTCATAGTTAGCCCTACTAGAGATATTATTAGGTACAAAAGTCACATGTACCTCACTCATTATCTCGTCATATTATACTTGAAATATGGGAACTATGACTCAGGTCTACCTCAGTAAAAGGTACTCCCGCTGTGTTCTCGGACTATTAGTGTTATTGTCAGTAAGTCCTAGATTGTTCCTAACAGGTGAATGAAAAGATTCTGCAGGTCTCCCTTGAAAAAGAGATCGTTAATCTCAATGGGATTTTACCTGGTTAAATAAAGGCTACAAACAAACAAACAAACAAACAATGTCTGGGTGAATGGAGGTTTCTACTACAAGGCTTTCTATGAGTCAGAGTTATAATCTTGGTCTGAAAGCTCTGAAAGATGTTGTGTCATGTGTCAGACTCCCTTTCTCTCTCAGCCCTCTGCATTTAATAAATTACTACCACTGCATATTGTTAAGTAAGAATTAAGTAAGTAAGAAATTGGCAAGCAAGCAGCACATTTCATTAGGCAGAGTGTTTCTAAGTGTGTGTATGCTGACTGCAGACCTTGTGAGAATCACGTTGGCACAATAAGCTCCTTTTTCATAATCTATCCATTTGTGTGCAGCAACCTTTTCATCCTCAAATAACGTAATGTGACTAGCACCTAAGCATAGTGCTTTGGATTAGTTTGCTGTCATTGGTTTTTAAGTCCAACTATTTCCCTCAGAAGGGAAATTAATTCATATACTCTGTGTGTATCTCCTGGGGTCGACACTGGAAAGACATCAGACTTTAATAGCCAGTTGCATTTACTCTTTTAAGATCGCTTTTTGACTCTCTTCACTTTGACCTGAAAATATTTTCAAAAAGCATTTACACACTGCAATTAGGGGGTCAAGGGGACATGTTTCCTGCAAGAGAAATGGTTTATCAAAAACACATTTGTGGTAATTGTCTTTCATTTTCTTTAAAGGGGCATGCACTTAACCTTTCAAGAGAGTATTTGCATGTCTCTCTTGAAAGTTGTTCCTGCAGTCCAATCTGCAAATCCAATATTTTATCATACAAAAAGAATGCTTCTGTCTTAGATAGTTTCTCTTGAACACAATATAAAATAAAACAATTTATTTACAAACTGTTAAAGCATTTTGTATCTGTTCTATATTCTGTATTATAACTTGTATTTATGTTTTTTTACTTTGCAGACCTTTAGTAAGCAGACTTGTATTTGCAATACTCAACAATATCAGAATATGAACATATTTGGGGTTTTTAAAAGGTGAGAGTAATCATAGAAAAACATACATATTGTATATTTGAGAAATCAAGACAAGTGAAATAAATATAAAGGTTTAAAATGTATGTCAGATGTCATAGCTCCTTCTTGGGTTTCTCTATGAAAATGATTCTTCTCAGTCTGTACAAGAAAAAGGAAGTGGAAAATGTAAACATTCATGTGACTTTAAATGATAAATGTACTGCTATACCATAATGTCTCTTTATCTTTGTAAGGGGACAAAAACTATTTACAATTTGCCTTATTCACCCATTTACACACATTGTTGCAATGGGGATAACTAGTCTGTAGAGAAGTGCTGAGGTTTAAAGGCACTTTTTTTCTACAAATATAAACCATCTATTTGTTTCCTCTGGTCAGGTCAGAACATTATGTCGTATTCAACATCCCTGCTTTCTATTGAGGTTTTTTGAGCGAAACCTAGAATAACATTGCACATACTGAAGAACAATCTCTTAGCCTAAAACACTATTCTCCAACCTCCTCTCTTTACTTGCTGTAACAAATGTAAATGTCTCCTCTGTGGGACGATTGAAGGTGTTCTGATTCTGGTTCTCCCCCCTCTGCTCCCCAGGGATCTGTGCGCGTTGCGACGTGGGCTCTGTGTACATGCATCACAAGTTTGCAGTGGTGGACAACCGGCTGCTCATCACCGGCTCCCTCAACTGGACGATGACAGCGGTGCAGAGCAACAAGGAGAACGTCATCATCACCGAGGATCCAGACCTGGTGCGTCCATTCCTCAAAGAGTTCCAAAGTTTATGGCTGCACAGTGATCCAGCCCAATACCTCCACTTAAGTGACCCAAAACCTGCTGACAAACCTACCACACCCAGCACTGACAAGCCATGCTGAGTAATAAGTCAGAGCTCTTCAATGTTTGAAGTAGAAGGTATGCATGTAAAAACAGTTTGGTCAGCTGGGCCATAAAACATTTAAAGACTTTTATATTTTCTTATTTTACGAAACAGACTGTTGCTTTTGGCCAAAGTGACAATGTAACTGTTCAAGCTGATACAGGTTTTATTTTTAAATATGTATCGGAAAAGGTTCTGCATTTAAGAGTTCCTGTACATGTGTTACTGTTTGGCACAGGACTAAGATGAGCCTAATATCCATTGCTGTGGTCCAGTTCTATAGAGAATGCTTCTGTTTGTGTTTAGAACATTTCTTGATTAAAAAAGACATGTAACTGTTGTATTTCTTGTATATTATGTCACAGGTTGACATTACATGTTTAGAGTTTTGTCAATCTTCTTCTTCGTGTTCATAAAGCTAGGTAAGAAAAACGTTTCACAGTGAGTGTATTCTTCCAGTCTGAAGTACACTGTCTGTAAAGAGTGTGTTGTTTAGTGTGTGCTACTGCAGTCTCAGGGACGATGTGTTGCCAAGCACAAATAAAAAACTCTTTCCCACTGCAGTTTTGGCAGGTTGTTTGCATCACTGCCCTGCAGCTGTAGATTTTCTCTTGCTCCAACATGATTTACTCTGTCTCATTCGCAATCAGGCCTTACAGCACAGAAACATGCTGGTTCTCTCGCTGCTAAACAAAACCGTTCTTTGTGGTTTGCAAACCCAAGTAGAGCTTATCTCGTTTGGACATGAAAGATGTGCCTGGGTGCATGACTCCCCTGCATTGCTCACAGTCAGGATGATGCTTGTTGAAAATACCAGAACTTGGGTTTGTCTGATTCAAGACTCGTAATATCTCAGAGATTTACATTTTAAAGTTCAGCGTTTAAAATGGGAATGTTAGACCTTACGAATCAGCTGCTATATTTTAGCCACGGTATTAATGTGACCTATTATACGGAGAGGTCATGAGTTTGGATGCGTTACTTGTGCCGCGTAATGCCTGTCCCGCGTAATGCCTGTCCCATTCAACACAGTTTACAGCAGGGACGCATAAAAGTAACTAATGAGTCTGTGTCAATTACGACAGAATAATTCCGGAAATAAAGTGAGTCAACCTTCAAATTAAAAGTCTGGCAGCACAACTGCTCATGCAAACTGTGTCAATGTAGTACCATGGGAAATGTATGACAATTAATCAGTTTGCTGCAAATCTTTAATTTGTATCATGATATTGAATATCTAAAGTTTCCCAGACTCTTGGTTAGTCAACACAATGCATTTGATAATGTTTACATTTAGCATGTTTGACTAGTTTCTGACCAATTTCAAATCGTTACAATATTGGATTAAGAAAATAAGTATCAGTTACAGCTCTTAAAAAATATATAAATACTAGAGCAGCTCTAGAACTATCATCACAGGATCACAGAGGAGGGAATTGCAACACACAACATATGCAGTATGCATGCACAATACAAATTTAAAAAAAACAATGACTACTGAACTTCGTCCATGTTTTGCACTTCATGTGTTGAATCCTTTATACAGTCTATGGTTGAATCTCACATAAGATTGAAAGACAACGAATGGTTTTATTTTGAAAGTCCCTTCCGGAAGTTCCGTTTCTATATCCTTGCTGACTTGACTCGTTGCACGGTGGTGTCCCAGTAACAGGCGCATGCACACACAGCCTGGAGATCCGGGAGCGGAGCGCTTGAAGTTCAGCGCCCGACAGCAGCGCACACCCATCTGCTTCAGGTAGAGGAGGAAGACCGCGGGAAGGAAGGAGGAGACGGACTTATAAACCACATCCATGGTAATTTACTCTCCACACAGTTGTCAAAAACAGTGGAGCGTTTGTTTTAATGCTATCGGTTCGGTATAGCTACCGTATGGTGGGGCAATGTAGGCAAATTAGGCTAACTGTGAAACATTGTCCACCTTTATCTCAGAAAAATGTGCGTGTGTCGTACTCGTACTTGACTTGAGGCTGGTTTGTATAGATTTATTTAGATTATTTCTAACTTTCAACAAGTGTCACGAGCCCATGTGTCCCCACAGCCTGGTATTGCTAACTTCAAACCCCATTTCCAATACTCATTTCCATGTACTTTATGCCAGGTGTCAACATCTGTTCATGATTCATATTTAGTATTATGCTGCTTTTATGCGAAATGGCCTTTTTTATTTTGCTTTAGTTTTAGCATCCCGAGTAATAAACCTCAAAACAGCTATTTGTTTGTATTGTCCTACTGACGTGTTAGCGCATGCGCGGATATTAGTGTTTTGCTGAGAGTGCACAGCAACCGGTCCCTCTAAGGTCTTGGAAGTGGTGTTACTGAGCATGTCTCCTGAGAGATCTCAGCTATTAGGGAGTACAACAGGAGTGGGCTCAGCCTCTCTAAGGGGAGAGGGTGGGAGGGGGGTAGAGGATGTGAGGATGAATGCATTGGTCAGCTTTCTTATGATGCAGACAGATAGAGGAAGGAGAGAGTGTGGCGTGGGAGGGGGGAGATATGGATGGATGATGACAGGAGGGATGCATAGATGGATGAGAATGAGAGAGAAAGTAAAGGAAGATAAATGGGTGTTGGTGTGTTTAAATGGGAGTGTCAGTAGGTCAGGTGGATGATGGATGAAATGTACAGGAAGGGGTGGAGAATATATTGCCCCCTCGCCCACCGCTCAGCGTCCACTTATCCCATAAGTTTTGCTACACGCGTCCATTTGACAAATGGACAGAGCGAGCAGGGGATGACGGATAGAGGGAGAAACGGTGGAAGGAGCGGCCCCGTTTGTGATTCATAACACAGGCATGAGAGCTAAAGAATATTGGGGGGTGGGGAGGTAGACCATTGTTAAAACAACACGTCCATTTACCAACATCTGCTCAGCTTTTACTGTGGATGAATTTCAGGCCTGTGTGTGTGAATTCTGAAATAGCTGGGATTCCTCACTCTGTCATTCGAACACATGAGTACTGTCTTTCCACATTTCTGTCCCAGACATCTCCCAACCCCACCAAGCTTTAAATAAGCCAGCGTCAGCCAGGGAGGAAGATATGGAGCCTACTTATTACTCATGTCGAATGCTTACTACATGATAGGGGCTTTATCAGCTGAGCACCCTGCGCCTGGCACATAGCTGGCATACTTGTTGCATGTCGCAATGCTTCTGTAATACACTGGTATAGAGGTAACTGGAATTAGCAGGGGCTAGAATTAATCCCATTTGTTTTTGTCATCACTTAAAATATTCAGTTAAGATATTTACCCCTGGCCCGCAGAGAACTCCAGGCTTCATAGTTTCTTAAATGTATATATTTATTAATATATTTCTTCCACTCAGTTTTGCCCTTTCAATTATCTTATACATTTAAGAAGCTTGTGTTATGTGTATACTTTTATATGTTTATGTTTTTATTAGTTGTTGGTTGGTCTTTTATAGTATTCTTTATATTTTGTATTGTTTATTCAAAAGGTGCTTTATTGATTATCTTTCTCTTCTGTCTATATGTACACATTTAATGTTTATTGTTTTCCGCTGTATTGTTTGCAAGGCTGTTGGTTATTGTGTCTTTTTTGAATGGATTAAGCTTATATAAAACCAAAATGTGATGTCTTCAAATGACTTTACCAGCAGTCAGAAACCAAAAGGTATTTATTTACACTGATATAAAACTGACAAAAGCAGCCAATCCTCACATTGAACACAAAATACTTTTTTTCTTTTTGCTGCTATATTTATTTGAGAATGAATCACATTTCCCCCCCTTTATCCTAGATTTCATTAGAAACATTTCAAATGACTGTGGATACTTTATCAAGTTGAGTTTCACAATCTATTCATAAAGTTTAGAGTCTGAAGTATCATTCTTCTCCTCTTGTCCTTCTTCTTTTGATAGATGGCACTAGCCAGAGATCCAGGGGCGGGCCAGGAGCATAAAGATGCAGCCGACCAGAACTTCGACTACATGTTTAAGCTGCTGATCATCGGCAACAGCAGCGTGGGAAAGACTTCCTTCCTGTTCCGCTTTGCAGACGACTCCTTCACGTCGGCCTTTGTCAGCACAGTGGGCATCGACTTCAAAGTCAAGACCATCTACAGGAACGACAAGAGGGTCAAACTTCAGATCTGGGTCAGTTGGAGAATACACATTGATCTTTGAAATATGCTGATAGAGGAAGATTAATGTCCTCATGCTGGTGGGAGTTGACATTCGGGGACATAACATTTAACATTTATTTAGCTGATGCTTTGGCCAAAACAACTTAAAATATGTGGATACAACCTAACAAATCTCAGGAATTATGCAAGTATACACTTTCATTGAATATGCTGATATACTAAAAAAATATTGTATTTTTCATCTATTTAATTGACAGTTTGACTGTATTCAGCTTGCCACTTGATAAACCTACCAAAAAGGGATGTAGAGCTTTTCAGGTGCACAATTTTTACAGAGGTTTTTTTTCATAGATAAACTAAGAATGGGAAATAGTTAACTAATATAAATCTAGAGCAAAGGGTTTTAGGGTAGAAAGACTGAAAGATGGCCAGAAACAAATGTTGGCATCATTCTGAAACTATTTAAAGTTATTTACAGCATAACATCCCACCAGTTAGAAATTACAATATTGTTAGTTGTTAAGGTTTTAAAGAAGGTGTTAATAAAGCAAACCCTCGAAACGTCAAACCTTTAAATAGCTCATTCTTGATTTTTTGTTTTTGTGAATTGTAGTCCTGTTAAGCCCCGAGCCTGTTTTTCAGGCCTCAGACTCGAAAATGACATTCCCAGAACAATTGACTATAACTACACTTCTAAAAGGGGTAAATTAATAATCTTTTTTCTCAAAGTAATGATAAACCTGTGAGTTTGATGTAGAAAAGTCAAAATCAATATAGAATCTTTTTATTTTAAAGTAAATTCACATTGAACATAGTAAAAAAATGTAAATTATTGTGTCCGTCCAAAAAAAAAAACATTACTTATAGTGAAAACCACCCTTGAATGATGGGATAGTAGACTAAAAGCTTTAGGAATCCAAACTATAACATATAATAAGTACCCTGTATCAAGATTGATGCAAAACAAGTGACATTTGACCTTTTTAGAGAGGTTTAGAAAGAAAAAAACACTTCTGGGGTCATTTGGGTGCATTTTCCATATCTCTGGCCCCCCTCAGTCGATTTTGATGATTGACACCTCTTTTTAACCGTTAGAGCCAATAGAATCGAGGGGAAGTTCCTAAAATCCATCTAAACATTACCCATTGTTGAATGAGTGATGCGTAGCCAGAATGCCCCGGAACCGGAAGCTGTCATACACTCTCGTAGCAGCTAATCTCCGTTATTGACATACATATGAAGATGGATTATTAGTAATCATTTCAAAGTGACACAGACACATTGGATTAACCTTCTCCTGTGTTGGTTCCGTAATGCTACGTTGTGTGATGTCTGTGTTTGCTTCCCATGTCGCGAGTTCTGATCGCTCAGTGATGATACTTATATGTCTGGAATCTGTGGAATATCAGCTTGCTAATCGATATCTTGTTTGTGCAGATTTGATAAGTAATAAGGGTATTTTACCTTGGGTTCTGTGCTGATTGCGTTAGCTCAGGGCTAATTCAGAGCCTTTGTTATTACCCTTTTGTTTCATTTAGCTATGGTTAATATTGTCTAAAAGCTGAGTTTCTTCCCGTTAAGTGAGTATGACACATTCATAGTTTATTAAATGTTAAGAAGCCCTCAGACGCTGTTTCTTGCAAGATGTTGCGTTTTGCTATTTAAATAAATAGAAGCATAATAACAAGATTTGTTCTTGAAAATAATCAAAAAGCAAAGCTAGTAAAAAAATATTTACATTCCTTCACCTTCAAAACGTTTACCATCACATCCACATAATCTAGTTTCTGATCTGCAGCAGGGTGAAAGGAGTGGAAGTCTGCCAGAACAAACTGATGGATGTTTGCTCAGTGCAGAACCAAGGAAGTAAAAGCTGGCACTGTGTTACAGTTCGACAAGATTTAACTCTAATTCATCTGGCACATCGAAAGTTTAAAGTGCTGAGTATAAAAACCTAATAGGAGTAGTTTTTTGTAACCACACTGACTCATAAATGGCAGACCGTCTGAAAAAAATAGAAGAAGTAATCTTTTCTGGATTTTTACTTATATACTTTTTTATACTTTTGCACATTTAGCAGGTAGCTGGGACTGGTTCAAAGCCGTTGATCTGAAAGCACTTTCAGGGGTCTCTGGTGTGACAATCCCACCACCTGTCTCCAATATATATATATACATAATCACCTGGTGCCCAAAACCACCTTCAAAATAAAAGCATAAAAAATTACTTTATTAAAATAATTACACTTAATAATAATACATTTGCCTCAGCGGCAGTTATATTTTTTTAGTACATTTTCTGTTTTATTTCTTTGATTTTCGCCGCTACAATACTATTTGCACTTTCGAAAACATTGATACCATAGCATGTCAAATGAATCCTTTTCAATCCAGATTCCTTTTCTTGTTTTAGGTTGGTTATGGAAGAATTTGTCATCTCTCCCATTCATTTCAATATACTTTCTTTATGTAAATTGTCTTTTAACTAAACTCATTTTGGCTTAACATTATTATTGGACCATCAAATTAATGAAAAAGGGCAAAAAAAAGTCTAATGGCCATTACTAACCAACTATATACAAAACATAGATCGATTACACTCTACTTTCCATGAGTGAAGCATAGCAGGTTTTCAATGGTGCTTAAGTATTGTAGAAAACAGACAGTAGGGTATCCAACTCCAAAACCCATTTCACTGATGCCCAAATCATCATTCAGTTAAATGAGGATAAAGAAAATAACCATAAGACTCTTTGTTGTCCATCTTTTTACCAAAACATGTCTGAGAAGAACAAAAATGTGACTAATTGAGTTAGTTTAATATGATTATGAGTCTAGTCAGCCTACAGCAGAGGTGTCACTTAGAAAATATATGCGACCCTCACATCATTAGGGTCTGAAGAGCTCCTAATAATTTCCTGGAGAATGCTAAGGAAGCATTTCCCTCCCCACAGCAGATAAAATATTATACTGTACAGAACGAGCCGGCTTGACAGACCATATATCATCCAAATTGAGTATGAAACGCTGCAGTCTATTTAATGTCAGAGCTGTAATTTACTGGAGGTAATTAACAGCATTTACCTTGGGGTTAGGAGGTTCTATAACACAGCTCCAGCCGAGGGGTTCTTTTGAAAGTGCTGTTGCACAACATAGACTGTTTATCCTCACCTCATTCCCCAGTTTGCCCTCTTACACGCTGCTGCCTGTCATGGCTGTGGCGTAAACTCATTTCTCACACTCCGGAGTTAATGACAGTTGATGTCTAACATGGTCCCCAGAGAGCAGGGTTCATGAAAGATGCATGGGTTCGAGCTGCTGGAGCCGAATGTGCTTACTGCGCACACTGACACCCAGGACAGATGTATCGCTGAACGTTAGTGGAAGGCGAGGGCTCACCCACAGTACTCCTGTTAGATTAAAGTAATACATCTTTTTTTAGCTTAATGTATTCAGCATAGCCTTCTCTGCTCTGCTTAACAATAGTACAGTTGCATACTAATACACGAGGAAGGTGCCAAGTAAAATGGAATTGGCTGCAACTTGAATGGGTTTCCTGGGGCTATTAAAACAAGCTAAACTCATTTTGTAAAACCCTGCATAAAGTTTGGCATAAGGGTGTTGGAGACAGCGGTAACATCTAATGCACGGTCAAGCCCTGAATCTCCATATTTAGGAGATATGTTTGTATTATACATGACAGCAGCTGGCTCTTAATTTGATCAGGGCAGAAGATGTAAACCTATTAGTTTAACAGCTTTTTCTGGGTGCAGTTCTAACATATCCACATCAGCTATCGTTAAATGCTTAAACAGCTTTCCCGCAATCAGACCACAGCATAAACTAGAAAAGATAAATCTCTATTTCTTATCCTTAAGGCAGAGCCAAGAAACAGAGAGCATATCCTGGTGTATAACAGGGTGGGGCCACACCAACACATGATGGGAGGGATTAGCTTCTGTTCCCAGGGAGTTAATGGTTCACAGAGTTAACCCTGTCATGTTCCTTTGAGTAGCTGTTTAAACAATAAGGACATTGCACCAAATCAGAAAAAGAAATGCATTTCTCAGGTGTGTCGTGTGTTTACAGGACACTGCAGGGCAGGAGCGCTACCGGACCATCACCACAGCGTACTACAGAGGAGCCATGGGGTTCCTGCTCATGTACGATATCACCTGTCAGGAGTCTTTCTGCGCTGTGCAGGACTGGTGGGTAGACCTGCAGATCTTACCATAAAACCATTAAGTATATTAGAATGTGTAGAGGAAGGAATTTCTCAAACTATGCTGCGTAAAAAGACAAGATAAGATAAGATGGACCTTTATTAATCCCTTTGGGGAAATTCAGTAGTTTAACAGCAACAGGGTAAGGATGAAAAGCAGGACAGCACAGATTCACACAGATTAATAAAATGAAGGATAACATCAAAGATAAAAAAAAATTATGAAATAAAAAATTAATTTAAATGAACATGTATACATATTTGACCATGTATACATATTAGATATATTTACATGTGTGTGTGAAAACAGTGTGTATTTTATGTCCAGTAATTGTGTGTATAAAAAAATACATTATTCTCCTCTGAAATGTAGTGTCATAAAGGTATAAAGTACAGTAGCTTTACATCAAATTGCTTAAATTAAATTCAAGCACTTAACTGCATATGAGCACAGCACACACAGATTACATGTGCTTTGTTTCTTTCCACCACTGGCTGTAGGAAATGCAGCAAAGCTTTTGTGAAAATGTTGTGTTGGTGTTTCCAGGGCAACCCAGATTAAGACGTACTCGTGGGGCAACGCTCAGGTAGTGCTGGTGGGCAATAAGCTGGACCTGGAGGAGGACAGGCAGGTCCCTACTGAGGACGCCCATAGACTGGCCTCAGAGCTCGGTTAGTGACACACCCTCACTCCTATAACATGCTCTGCAAGCACCCGCCAGACAAACTCAATTACGTAAACAAATTATTGAATTGTCACTCGTCTATCTGTTTGCAGGCTTCCACTTCTTTGAGGCCAGTGCCAAAGACAACATCAATGTAAAGCAGGTTTTTGACAAGCTGGTGGACGTCATCTGCGAGAAGATGAGCGAGAGCGTCAACGGTGAATCGAGTTCGTCAGCCAATCAGAATGAGGCCGGCCTGAAGGAGACGCCCAGCAGCAGACCAGGCGGCTGTGCATGCTGATGGCTGGCAATGGAAATGATCTAAATCTATCATTTTGAATGTAGTTATTCATGTTGATGCAATAATATCATGGATGCTCGGCTTTCTTTTTTTAATTGTATCTTTTCACAACTTGGTGACGACCGCAGCTTCATCGTAATGTGACTGTTACACTGAGATGCCAAAGAGCTGCACAGAGTGCCTTTTGCCTGACAACACTGCTTTGTTATTTCTTGTCTAGTGAGTGAACAGCACCTGTTGCAGGCCAGGATGTGAATGAAAGGCATTAGCAAAATCAGCATGGTGTGTGGATCACTGTGATTTACTTGTGTCATGCTACCCCCTTGTGGTTGCTGCATGAAAATGCATCACTGAGTCATCGCTGCACTAAACTGTATCATGTGAACTGCTGAGGCTCACTGACGGTTCAGTACAAAGTCAAACATACCTGAAGGTTGAAGTGAAACATACCTGAAAGGTGCTGTGTCATTCCAGGTGTATGTGTGCAGTCCAGACTTGTAATTACTAAGGGATATTCTCATCAGCTTTAATTTATATCTTTTGTTTTATTCTTTTTGTACCTTTCAATGGTTAATGCTAATTAATGACTTTCTTTTGCCAGGTTTATTTTGTATCTCTAAAAGTGGGTATTAAAGATGTGGATCAATACAGTGTGTCTGATGGTTTTCATTTGCACAATGTAATTAAATGTTATTTTCTAAATGAAACACTTCTAACTAACAGGAAACATTTGACAGCTCTTCAAATGTTTCTACGCAGTGTTGACATCGGTTCATTTTCAACTGATGTAATTTCCAATCACGTCATAAAATGTTATTGCCCTTAAGTGTTTTTCCATGTATTACAATCAAGTTATCAACACCTTATTGCTTATTTCCAACGTTCTTTTATTTGATTCTTTAAATTGGCTCTTCTTTTTTAAATGAAATTACATTTTTGAGTTTTGTGTTGAATTTCAGAAGCTATTTCTGGATATCAATATCATTTGTTTATAGGTTCCTGGTTTTTGAAGGGACTTTGATCACCAGGAAATGTTGCTTACCCCATAAGCAAAGTCTGTGACGTGTGGGGCATGAACTTTTTTGTGTGTGTGTGTGTGTGAAACCTGTGAAGAGATAAAAGGGGCTGTGAAAGGCTTGTCGAGCAGACACTCCTGGTTGATCAGACCTCAACGGACAGACAGAACTGCACAGGTACAGGCTTAATTCTTTTTCATACTATCAATTAAAATATGCAACTACATGATCGACAACTTATTATCTTAATTTCAACCAACCTAAAAATGCAGCGAGATAACATGATGTGAACCAGTATGATTTTAACAATGAGAACTTATCTAATTCATAAAATAAAGGGATGATAAATGACACACACTTTTTTCTATTGATAATAGAGGTTGTTGTAATCAAAGGTTTACTTTACAAAGTGAGGTAGTTGGTGATCTGCTGTCTGAGTATCGCTATTTTATTCAAGTATCATTTAAATGGGGTCGATTGTAATAATTACACTACTGTAGTGTTATAATTGCAATACAGTCTGTTCGTATTTATAATGTACCATTACATTATAAATACGAACAGACTTAAATTAAGTATGGTCAACTATCTTCAACAGTCAATATAAAAAACTGAACCCTGACACTTGACAGCAGAGGAAACCAGAACATTTAACAGTTACATTTATAGTAACAGAACCGATGTAGGAAATGTTCTCTGACTTTTCAAGTTGTGTTAAAAACAGTTATCTGTCCTGTTTTCTTCTGCCTCAAACAAACATGTGATTATGCTGGCGTTATGAATGCATTTTATGGCCACTTGAAATGAATGTAACAGTTGGCAAGTGTTTTCCTACTGAATTTTATTGTCATAGCAATAAGGAAAAAATCATCAAAGGCTATAAAACAGAGATCATTTCTCAAATACAGGAAACAAAGTGTTGCAATGTTGCGGGCATAGGTGTGTATTTTATGGTTTGTCTGCTACTTGTAGTTAGAAGCAATACACTGATACCATTCACCAATTATGAGGACATTTGATTAATTGAAGCCATAATATGACAACCTCTTCATAACTTACTTGGCACCCTTTAAACGTGTTCATTTAACTAATGACATACTACTATACTCATACTACTAAGTGAACACATTTAACATGGAAGAAAAGACTATTTTAGTCTCCGCTGATATAGATATTGAGTGATTGTATAATGGACAGAGAGTGACACAGTGTAAAACTGGTTTACAATGAGAGTATACAACTTCAGAGCTGGAAGAACTGAAGAGAATTTGCTTCCTCTGTACCAGATGGAGACTCATGTGTAAAAAGGGAAACCCACAACCTGATCATGTGACTTAAATGTGTGATCTTTTTAATAGCAGCCAAGGCTTAATAAAAACAATTAAGTGTGGATATGAATGTGGGACGTACCTATCAACCGAAACCTATTACGTCAGCATGACAAACTTGCAACATTTAAAGAAGAAACCCCTTCATGTTTTCCTGCCAGTTACTTTGGTTAATGTATAACCAAAGCAAATGCCGTTTGACCCATGTTGGTGCTTGCTTGTGTTGTAAGCCATCCCCCCACATCATTGATTTTTCTATGAGAGGCAAAATGCAGAGTTGTGCACAATTCCCCTGCAAGAGAAATAAGGAAGTGTGACCAATTAGTTATTAGTTAAACTAACAAACTTTTTGTATTCTCTTTTTTTTTACAGTGTGAAAAAGAAAAAAAAGCGCCAAGATGTGTTGCTCCGGCTTTCTCAAAATTATGATGTTCATCTTCAATGGTTGCATCTTTGTAAGTTGTAAAAAATAAAAAATCGTTTTGGTCTTCTGCTGTTCCGCTCTATTTTATGTTGGCCTGGTCTCAGAAGAAAATAGACTAGAGAGCCGACATGATAGAATAATAATATTCCTAATAATAATGTTTCATATGAATATTAACTTTTTATAAAAAGTGATGTGACTTGTGACTTTGTACTGCAAAACCTGAAAAACATTTGCTGTGTAGCCTACTTCAAAAAGTCAGTGATAGCTGAAAGGAATAGTTTTACATTTTGGGAAATACAAGACATAGTCCAGCTTTTAACCCACCCAGCAAGTTGTGTTTTACATTACTTTTCTGTATCGGCTAAACTAAAAATGTAATGTTGGATGTTGTTGCTGTTGAACAGCTGCTGTTGCTGTCTTACCATGCTTCCAGCCAGCTAGCAGCTATAGCTAAAACTATACTTTCTATATCTCTCCATACTAAAATGCTATGTTCTTAAATTCTGATTATTACATCTCTCCTCTTTCCTCACACATCATGCAGTTGGCAGGTGCAGCCATCCTGGGTGTGGGAGTGTGGGTGAAGGTGGACAGTGGTTCTCTGCTGGGGTTAGTGGAGGACGTGGATGGCGCTCCGTCTGGTTTATCCCAGCTGGCAAACGTCGCCTACCTGCTCATCGCCGTGGGTGCTGTGCTGCTGCTGATCGGCTTCCTGGGCTGCTGTGGAGCTGTCAAGGAGAGCAGGTGTATGCTGCTGACGGTGAGCAATGTGTGATAGGTCAACTGGACTGGGTAGGACGGAAGACATTTGTTAAAGAGGCACACCTTTGTGTCATTTGTAGAAAGATTATTTCCGCCTGGTTTTCTCCTTGCTTGAAATATTGTCACAGTTTTCATTGTCGCAGGTGTAAAATATTTTTGTCAAACCTTTTTACTACCCACATACATGTAGATTTGTGGCCCTCTGTAAACTCAAACAGTCAAAGTGTGCCTTTCCACCTGAGTTCAAGTAGGGTTACAGCGTTTGCAAGTGGGAGAAAAGACAACATCAGATCTAATCCAGTTTTGGAATGAGCTTTGTCCGCTTGGAATTGTAATTTTCTTATATTTGCATTTTTTCAGTGCTGTGTCAGCCACTTTTTTTGCTTCCTCTTTCTAGAGGAATAGGATTGTTGAAAAACTTACTTTTTACTTATTGTGCCTTTAAAACACTATGGAGCACAATTAAACTGAACAAATCTGATTTAGGATAATTTAATTAAATGTGTGGTAGTATGAGGTATGTTCAAAGCAACATTAACCTCCTTTTGAAATAAAAGTATTTAAACTATGGGTGGGCAGAGAGAACTAACTATCTGAGCATTCCAAATATATCAACAAAAATTTGAATTCTGGTAACAGTAAATTATGAAATGTTTGATGTTTATTTCACCAGAGTAGTCAATAAAATGTCCTTCTCATTTAGCGCTGTTATGAAGGAGGTGGCTTTCAAGATGTTACATATTTGAGCAATAGTTTTTTGTTTGTTGTATTTCCATTACCTTCTTTGTCCAGACTTGATAGAAATACAACACTGCAATTAAATGCTTTACATGGAGTGTTTTACAGTATTATTTATCGTTTTCTCCCCATCCAGTTCTTCAGTATTGTGCTGATTCTCTTCCTCGTCGAGGTCGCAGGAGCTGTGGTGCTGCTCGTCTTCACTGGCTTGGTAAGTGGCTCTTAACAGGAGCTACTTAACAATAATTTCCAATAGCAAGACTTAGTTTTAAAACCATTTAAGAACTTAAATGTACAAAAAAAAAGTATCAGGTTCAAAGATTGTCAACCTGTCCTTCTCAGGCCGAGGATCTCCTTGGTCAGCTAGAAGTCGAAGTCCAACAAAGCATCAGAAAGCAGTATGGAATCACTGAAGGCTTCACTTCTCTTTGGAATGCCACCATGGAGGAGGTACTGTATATTTTATTGATAGGACAATTGCATTGGCTTTGTAAAGATTTTGAATTAAGACTTTGTGTTTTTGTTCTAGTTTACGTGCTGCGGATACAAGAACTACACAGATTTTGAAGGATCCCCTTTCTTCAATGAGCACGGAATGGATGTTTATCCACAAACATGTTGTAACGAAACCATCACCGTTGGCGTGTGCAACACATTCGAAGCAGAACGTTCGGTACGAGACTAAGTTTAACTTAATGCATGTTAGCAAAAAAACATTTATTGTGATGATGAAGTGCAACAGTCAGTCATTACCTCCTCTGAACTTGTTGTTTCTCTTTCAGAATATTGATGGCTGCTTACAGAGGCTTCTGCAGCTGATAGAGGAAAATGCTGTGATCATTGCTGCTGTGATTCTTGGAATCGCTGCTCTTGAGGTATCAATATCAAATAGCCTTTTTTTTCAGCCACCAGTCTACTGTAGAAGAGTGATGTATACTTTAACCCCAGTTGGTAGTTGAAACAGTTATAGATTGCTATTTGAATGAAATATTGTTTTACTTTCTCTATAAGAGTCATGTCATCATGAATATGTCTATCTAAGCATGATGATAATATGTTACAATAATTGTCTGTAGGTGCATTATGACCTTTAAAGATTCTATAGTCAACCACTTTATTGTAACAATTTATCAAATGACATTTTTACTATTTAAAAGAGTGTGCACCTCAACTCTGCTCTACTTTAAAGAGAGTTTCAGCTCATTGTTAGGCAGTTGCGACTTTACTACTTTGGTTTACTCTCGCATTGTGATGTTTCCTGATGCAGGAACTAGCTGCTAAACAAAGTTGAGCATTAAGCAGCTAAAGACCAAGATATTCCCCACAGTAATGGGTCCACACACCAACAAAAGGTGACTTTATTTAATCAGGTGATCTAAAACCTAACTCTAAATAAATTATAATGCTTTTCTGTAACTGTTCGGTGTATAAATAAGCAACTGCTTGTAAGGATGTTTACAATATGAACTTAGAAGGTGATGCTATGTGAATGTTATGTTCCCATTTTGAGGCCAAACAATCACTCTTTCAGAAACAGTGTACAGTCAATAACCTGTATCACAGATCCATTACACTGTATCTCAATAATGTATTGTTAAACATTTGTCTTCACAGATTGCTGCCATGGTGGTTTCCATGGTTCTCTACAAGCAGATTGGCAACAAGGCATGATTTTTCCTGTTTGGGATGAGATGGCAACAGTGTAATTGTTTGAGAAATGTAACTTGCAAGCTGTTTTTTATGTATAACATTTCTATTTCATTTATAATAGACAGATTCTCAGGCAGACATACTTTTAATGCTCTACATGCACTATTCTGAGGTCAAAAGACCAAGTCAATGGATCACATTTATACTGTGATTTATTTATGTTTTAAGAAGGGCTGCTTTCAGCAAATGTTGTATGTGCTGATACATATGGGTAGTAATATGTGATGACGCACAGGGCAGAAAGGATGCAAATCACGTCAGTTGTTTATGTCCCTCACATTCAAGCTGTATTATAATGAATTTATTTTTGTATCTTTATAATTGAAATAATAAATATCACAATCTCACATTTTTATTACACATTGATTCGGGTCTTCTTTGGCATTTTGTCTAGTTATTTTTGTAACCATGTAGGCCTATATAAAACAATGTCAGAGGATATGGTTTACTTAGGCCTATATCACCAACATAAAATGGATTCTAGTGTCAATAACCAAAGTACAGTACCACATATGAGATTTTTTATTACATACTTTATTCAATAAGTATGCTAATCAATTATTGATATGCATGATTGATTGCTTTGTCTTGAGAAACTTTAGAATTCAATATATGTATTACAAATTATTATTATTCAGAACTTCCTTTCTTAGCCTCCTTGACTGACCATTTTGTAACGATTGTAATTAGTTGATTTAGTGTCGCTATGTCATGAAAAAATACTGTTAGCCAAACGTAACTTCTGTCTGGAAGTTTACGTATCTATTCTCACGTGACCTCCTTTCAGCCAATCACGCTTGATGTAGACTATGCATTGGTGAACGTGCGTCGCGCCATGGTCGCGCCTCACGGCTCTCTCCCGCGGGTCGTTTCAATGATGTTTGCTCGAGAGAAAACGACCCTGTTGCATGTGAAATAACACTAGAGAAACAATGTTTGTAGCATTGCTAAAAAGTGGTTTAAGTATAATGTTTTGTAAAATGACACATTTCTACACAATATTCCTCAATATACATAATGTTAATCTTCTAGAAGAGTTTCCACCTGGCAACACTGACTGAAGCTAACATCATGGCCACACAGTAACCAGGTAGCAGCTTCTACTAAATGCAACTATGGCCTGTTGCTAAGTAGATATAATTGAACCCGGTAGAAACGCATAAAAGAAGGATTACAGAATGAAGTTTGCCTTGACGTGTTTCTCAAGAAAAGTTACAGCAAGACCGCCAAACAGACGTTTGATGGGAATCAAAGAGAAGCGGCTAACTTACATGCTAGTGCTTTAGCTAATGCTGGCATGCATAATACTAGCGTTAATGTCCCTTGAACTTCCCATATCAATAAAATGGATCAAATATAGTGAAGAAAGACACTTCCCCGAAATGCACGCAGAGTTCACTGTTATGTTATGGCTGCAAACATTGGAAACATCTGGGAGAAGTCGATCAATCCACCTGTTCAACTCAAAGCCTAGACTGTGCCTTGTGTAGCTGCAGGTAAGAACACCCGAATTTGTTTGGCCCGCCGTGGGATGTTGTGATTGTATTTTTTTGTGGAAGTTCTGAATTGTGTTATCATCTTAACAAGGCTTTTTCTGTAGTTATATTTGTGTTGTATGACTGGCTCATCGAAAGACATTACAGGTTTGGCTTTGCGATGTAATTAGATGTAAAGTTACATAAATAAACAAACTATTACAGTACACTGAACACAGTGGTGTAAAGTAACTAAGTAGATTTACTCAAGTAGGCTACTTGAGTATTTCCATTTTGTGCTATTTTGTACTTCTACGGTGCGGATCTACCGGGGTGGCATGGGGTGGCAACTGCCACCCTAAAAAATAGCCTTGCCACCCCAGCTGCCACCCCAGTTGGCATCTTTGTTTTGAAAGAACAGTTGTGGCTCATCGGACATTTATGAGAGAAAATCTCTAATGTCCGAGTGCAAGTGAATGCAGCACAAGACGCGAGTCTTATAACCCCTCCCCCGGCCCTGGCGCGAGATGGGAAATATGATTGGCGGCGATTTCATTTGAACGGGGGACGGCGCAAAACGAGAAGCATTCGGACTCAAGTAGACGGAAGGAATGAGATATTTGCGGTCTACAATGACAGAGAAGAGGCAGGGTGTTTCTCAATCGCGAGTAAAGCTGCTTCAGAGCCACTATTTCAAGCATACTACGTCATCGAGTGCCGCCGAAGTACTGTTCCAATCTCCAGCATACTTGGAAATCTACCGAGCCCGGCGTACTCCGTTTGGAGAAATATCGAGGCTGCACATGAGTAGACTCCGCGGTCTTAAAATCCCCACAATGCTTTGCGCACGGACCAATTTCCCCAAATCTGTGGGTGTTTCTCAATCGCGAGTACGCTTGCTTGGTAGCACATGTCTGCCGAGCATCTTGCTTCAGAAGCGAGTCAAGAATACTTCCTGGCATTCGGAAAACGAAGTGTGGAACACGCTAGCAAGTGTGCAGGTGTGCGTCATATGAGAGGCCCCGCCTTACATCTTCCGCCACAGATTTGGGGAAATTGGTCCGTGCGCAAAGCATTGTGGGGATTTTAAGACTGCGAAGTCTACTCATGTGCAGACTCGATATTTCTCCAAACGGAGTACGCCGGGCTCGGTAGATTTCCAAGTATACTAGAGATTGGAACAGTACTTCGGCGGCACTCGATGACGTAGTATGCTTGAAATAGTGGCTCTGAAGCAGCTTTACTCGCGATTGAGAAACACCCTGTGGCGGAAGATGTAAGGCGGGGCCTATGATATGACGCACACCTGCACACTTGCTAGCCTGTTCCACTCTTCGTTTTCCGAATGCCAGGAAGTATTCTTGACTTGCTTCTGAAGCAAGATGCTCGGCAGACATGTGCTACCAAGCAAGCGTACTCGCGATTGAGAAACACCCACTGTCAAGTTTGGCTGTACTCAGCATTGAATCAAAACGCACTAAAGCTGTTGATCTTAATAAGTTTGTGAGGCGTTTTGCTGAACAAAATGGTAATCGCCGCATTCAGCTGTAATAGGCATGCCAACTTGATGCTCTGCTCACGGATGACTCGATGAGCATGAAAAACTGTTAAGATGATGAGCTTGTATGTATGTCTTTTCTTTGTGGGGTCTACCCCCAAAAAACAGTTTCAAGTCCTGAGAAAGTCAAATAAGACGGTGTGTAAAACTACACTGCCCAGCCAAAAAAAAGTAACCACACTTTGATTTAACTAGGCCAGTAGGTAAGGACTTTCCACTTAATAATTATTTACTGCAGCGATGTATATTTTTTAGCTGAATACACGTTCAGACACGAACAAACATTAAAGAAGTGACTAACTGATGCAGTTAGTCACTTCTTTAATGTTTGTTCTTTCTGATGTAAAGTCAAGGTTGTAACTGTTTGCAGTAAAGTCGTGGGGCGCTGAACTGTTCCTTTGAATCTTTTGAATTTTGATGATATAATTACTTGTCTTTCAAATTTGAAGGAGGGTGAGCAAGCTTCTTAAGGAACATTCATCATTAACTCCTCCAACAAATATAGTTTATTCAATAATAAATGAATATGTGAATCATAACAGTGATTGACAGCTGATAGGAATAATATGATTGTTAATAGTATCATATTCATTCAGACAAACATCGATGAGACAGTTAATTAATGTACTTATTGCAGCAGTCTTCATAGATTTGGTACCCCTGCTGGTCTAAGAGTGAAACAAACTCATTCAGTTATTGTTCAGTTAAAATTCATTCAATTATGTCTGCCACCTTATATATTTATATGTAAGGCTTTACTGATGTGCCACAATAATGTCACCTATGTTATTGAGTTAAAATATTAATATTGTGGCTTTCCAAGTTAACATTGATTGATATGACTGCGATTAAATCAGCATATACTTCTGCCAGGGGATGCCACCCCTCAAAATATCCTGCCACCCTTTTGCCACCCCATGAATATGTGTCTAGATCCGCCCCTGCTTCTACCCCACTACAGTTCAGAGGTAACTCGTGTACTTTGACTTTGCTACATTAATTTAGGACCTTTAGTTACTTTGCATATTTTGATTCATGTTGTGAAATATAGTCAACACTTAAAGCTCCCATGTCATGCTTTTCCGGTTATTACCCGTCCCCTTGTGTGTTATGAAGGTTTTTATGCATGTAAACGGTGTGCAGAGTCAAAACCCTCAAAGTACACCCTGTAGCGAGTAAAACTCTAACACAGAAAATACCTCCCCAAAACGCCTCGTTGGAGATAGTCACTGCCCATTTGAGTCTTCCATTTAGTTCCGGGTACGGCCTGATGTCATGCGGTACCCGGAACGAAATGGACCAATCCCGAAGAGCTATGGCCACACCCAGCGGCGCTGGCCGCACCCTCTGCCAGCCTAACATTTACTGTTGGAAGCTCTGGTTCAGTTCACAATCGATCCAGTCATGCCACTGCCAAGGACCTGTTTCCTGAAATGTGAGGAGAAATCTGAGCTGTTTGTCCTACCGACGGAAGAACCACGACGAAGTCAGTGGTTGAAATGTCTTTTTAACACTGTTCCTTCAGAGGTTCGAAGAACCGGCATTTCACAGACGAAAGCTTCCAAAACATTGCCCAGTTTGAGGCCGGATATGCACAGCTTGTTTGGACCGTTTGGAGCAGGGGAAGATTCGGGTACACAACCTGTAAGTTTGCATTGTTATTTGTGTATTTATCAAACAAGACTGTTTAAATGTGTAAACTGTGTTGGACTGCTAAGCCATTGACACAGTGCTAACTGTGCTAACTAAGTTGCTAGCGTTTCCATATATCAACTCTAATATCAGCAGATGGCCTTGCATACATGTATCTCATAGCAGGAGAATGTCTGCATTCACACACAAAATACCTATTGACAGTATACTCCGGGTGATTTGCCGTGCGGTCAGTCGCGAAACGTAATTACATTATAGCTGGCGTAGCGTGTATGCTACCGATCTAACCGACGGAGCTAGACCTGGGTTTGGTCGGAAAAACATTTTTGTTATGCTACGTTGCTAGCGTTTAAATATATCAACTACAATGTCAGCAGATGGCCTTACATGTTTGTCATGGCAGGAGAATGTCTGCAGTCACACACACGGAATACTCATACAGTATACTCCGGGTGATTTACCGTACATTGTGACAGTACATGTACATACTGCATGTATAGCTAATGAGGCTAGCTGTATGCTAGCGCAAAACAATGTATTCATGCAAGTTACAATGTATGACCGAACGTAGCAGAATACCCGTATAAGATTGCAATTATAAACACGTTATTGCTAGCCTAATATGAACCACTCGCTTTTGTTCATAGTAGTTTTATTACACTACATTATAGTTG